TGACTGACCCAGCATAATGTTCAACCTTTTTTTCTTGGTGGGCTGCATGGGCAGTGCCTGGTCCAGCTACATGTCAGATCTGGCCAGTGGCCCTGATCTGGTGCCCAGGGCCCCATCTGGCCATATGGAAGGAGGTAGGGGGCAGCGTGGGCCCAATCCAGCTGCATGGGGGGAAACAGGCATGGCCCAGCCTTGATTCAGCCATGGTTGGGGAGGGGAGCATGGCCTGGCCCCCAGCCCATCTGTGCAGAGAGAACAGGGCATGGCCCAGCCCCGTTTTAACTATGTGGGACGAAGTGGGTCTGGGCTAGCCCCAATCTGGTTTGTGTTGGAGAGGGGGCATGGGAGTTTGATACTGGGGGAGAGTGGGAGTTTGATATTGGGGAAGAGTGGCAGCTCCCACTGCCAAATTTCCTGACCTGTGGGGAGCCCCATGGGCCAGATGGATGCTTCTGGGGATAGGGCAGTGCACCATTTGGCCCACAGGCTGGAGGCTGAGCACCCCTGGACTAACAGGAGGAAAAAGAAGATATACTGAGCAAAATGGGAGGAATTAGCAGACTGTTTAAGAACGGTAATTGGTGAAAGCACTGAATAAATTAACAAATTATGTTATTTGTGTTTTTTACATTTTAGAGATGAAATTGGATTAATCCCCTGTCCTGAAGCAAGGTATAACCGGAGCCCCATAGTGCTGGTACAGAACAAACTTGGTGTGGAGAGCTGGTGCGTCAAGTTCCTTTTGCCATATGTCCATAACAAGCTCCTCCACTACAGACAAAGAAAACAATGGCTCAACAAAGATGGTAAGTACTTGACTGAATAAATTCCTCTCTGATTCCTAGTGTGTAGTTTTTTATTATCTATTGTGAAATACCACAGACATTTTAAGAAATACTGTGTTGGGGAGACTACCCAATGCTGTATTGGAACAGCTTCATGGCAGAGAGTGGACCTATTGTACAAGCTAAATCTCCAGTTTCTTCTACCCAAGTTGAAACTCCAATTCATTTTTCTTTTTCCTAAGCTGGCAGCGATGTAAAGAATGAAACAAGTAATTTTACTAACTTAGGAGAAATTTAACTGTTTTTGGAGACAATTTTATCTAGCTCTTCTTGATCAGAAGTATGGTCATGGTGCTACGTGGCTCTGAGATAGAAAAGGAACACGAGATTTTCAAGGCTCAGAGGATTACATGGGGAAATATTATTTGTACAAACAGCTTGATATTGTACAGTTCCTGTTTATTAACTCATTTTTGTAGGCGTTTAAAGATATTGTTGACTTTGAATGGTTTCTGCATTCCTTTTTTTATCAAAAGATAGTAAATGTATAAATTAGGAGAGATATGGTGGTATAAAATTGACACATCTTTTTTTACTGAGCAAAAATCACTTGGCTGTTTCTCTGTAAAACAGAGTTGTGGTTGGTGTAAGATACAGCTAGAAGACTAGATCCATCTTAGCACATGGAATTTCTCATTGTTCTACTGGACTTTCATAGACTTCACTCTCTGAAAAAACTTAAGTGCTTCTCTTACATGGACTTAAAAGCATGCTGGCTGGATGGGTACACTGTTTGGGATGTTACAACTACAAATAATTTGTATTGTGAAGTGTGTAAAAGCCCGTAAAGCTGTAGAATCATAATATCATGTTCACTTGAATCTAATATGAGGCTTTTTCCCCCCATTCAACATGAGGGGAGGGAGCCTTTTGTCTTACAATCAAGTATAAATTGGGGGGGGGTGAGAGGAGGAACAGAGGTTGCAGCTCTGACTGCAACCCTGAGCCCAGGGCTGGAGTTGGAACCACAGTCACTGCCCCCCTTACCACCTGCCCCCCTTCCCTCCTGCTCCTGCAGCCTCTGCTCCCCACCACTGCTTACCTTCCCCTTGCAGCTCTGGCTCCTGCTGGGGCCTCACTCCAGCTGGGAGCACAGAGCATGTGCTGCCAGCAACCACAGCCTGACCACACAGCGGCCACAGCAGTGCTGGCCACAGCTCCAGAAAAGCTGCTGTGTGGCCAGGCTGGGGCTGGAGGCATCACATGATTCATACTTCTTGTCCAGGGCTGGAGCAGGCCCCCAGCAGGAGCTGGAGCTGCAAGAGAAAAGTAATCAACAGTGGGGGAGGAAAGAACTAGGTCAGGCATTGGGGGGAGGACAAGTGCCATGGGCACCACAGGGGCATGCAGGAGTGGGGGCAAGTGGCAGAGGAAGCTAAGCAGGGTTGGCAAGCACTGAGGTGGGGGGGGATGGACAGGTGGAAGGGGTACAATTAGGGGATAGGCAGCAGGGGGTGCAGGCAACACGGGAGTAGGTGTGGGGCATGCAGTCATCGGGCAAAGGGG